ATAGAAACCATTCTCCTCCCAAAAATAAATTAGTACAGGATTCAGAGGGAAATGAAGAAAACGGATACCCAGTCCCAGACAACAAAGATAGACTATACCAAGGAATCCAACGAAGCCCACAAGAACAAACTGAAAGAAGAAATCACTGAGAATTTCATGAAGATGTTACTAGACAAGGTCAACTAACACATACAGGAGGCACTCAAGAAATTCCAAGACAACAAAAATAAGGAATATGAGAAGACAAAAAGACAAATAAGTGAACTCATAGGAGACCTAAATAAATACCAAAGTGAAACAGAGAACACCATAAATAGATAAATGAATTAAGGACAAAAATTTACAATATTAAAGAGGAAGTGACCCATGATATGGAAAACCTCAGAAAAAAGAATGAAACATAAACACAAAACACAATGGAAGGCCACTGCAGCAGACTAGAAAAAGCGGAAGACAGAATCTCAGAACTTGAAGACGAAATGGAAATTAAAGGAAAAACTGAAGAATTATTACTCAAACAACTCAAACCCTGTGAAAGGAATATGCAAGAACTCACTGACTCCATCAAAGACCAAACATGAGAATCATGGGCATTGAAGAAGGAGAAGAGGTGCAAACAAAAGGAATTTGTAATATATTCAACAAAATAATAACAGAAAATTCCCCAAATCTAGACACAACTATGCTCATTCAGGTACAGAAAGGCTCCAGGACACCAAACAGACTTGACCAAAATAGAACTACCCCACGACATATTATCATTAAAACAACAAGCACAGAGAATAGGGAAAGAATATTGAAGGATTAAGAGAGAAAAAACAAATAACATATAAAGGTAAACCCATCAAAATCACAACAGATTTCCCAACAGAAACCTTAAAAGCAAGAAGAGCATGGAGTGAGGTATTCTGGGCACTGAATGAAAATAACTTCAACCCTAGGATACTCTGCCCAGCAAAACTATCATTCAAAATAGATGGAGCAATAAAAGTCTTCCAGGTCCAGGACCTGATGGATTCTCTGCTGAATTCTGTCAGATCTTTAAAGAAGAACTAAGACCAACCCTCCTTAAACTGTTCCATGAAATAGAAAGGGAAGGAACACTGCCTAACTCATTTTATGAAGCCAGTTTTACACTCATACCAAAACTAAATAAAGACACCTCCAAAAAGGAGAACTACAGGCCAATCTCCTTAATGAACATTGATGCAAAAATCCTCAATAAAATAATGGCAAAACAAATCCAACAACACATCAGAAAGATCATTCACCACGACCAAGTTAGCTTCAACCCAGGGATGCAGGGGTGGTTCAATATATGAAAATCTATAAATGTAATACAGCACATTAATAGAAACAAAGACAAAAAACCACTTTATCATCTCAATAGATGCAGAAAAAGCCTTTGATAAGATCCAACACCACTCATGATAAAAGCTCTAAGAAAACTAGGAATAGAAGGAATGTACCTCAACATTGTAAAGGCTATATATGACAAACCTACAGCCAGCATTATACTTAACGGAGAAAAATTAAAACCATTCCCTCTAAAATCAGGAACAAGACAAGGGTGCCCACTATCTCCACTCCTATTCAACATAGTACTGGAATTCTTAGCCAGAGCAATTAGGCAAGAAGAAGGAATAAAAGCAATACAAATAGGAAAAGAAACTGTCAAAATATCCCTATTTGCAGACAATATGATCCTATACCTTAAAGACCCAAAACACTCTACCCAAAACTTCCTAGGCACCAGAAACACCTACAGCAAGGTGGCAGGCTACAAAATCAACTTACAAAAATCATTAGCTTTTCTGTACACCACCACCAACAAACTAAGAAGGAATATATGGAAACAATTCCATTTACAATAGCCTCAAAAAAAATCAAATACCTAGGAGTAAACTTAATAACGGATGTGAATGGCCTCTACAAGGAGAACTACAAACCCCTGAAGAAAGAGATGGAGGAAGACTATAGAAGATGGAAAGATCTCCTGTGCTCATGGATCGGTAGAATCAACATAGTAAAAATGGCTATACTATCAAAAGCAATCTACATGTTTAGTGCAATTCCCAGCAAAATCCCAATGACATTCATCACAGAGACTGAAAAATCTACCCTAAAATTCCTTTGGAAACACAAGAGACTGCAATTAGCCAAGGCAACACTCAGCAAAAAGAGCAATGCTAGAGGTATCACAATACCTGACTTCAAACTATACTACCAAGTACTAGCAATAAAAACAGCATGGTACTGGCACAAAAACAGACATGAAGACAGTGGAACAGAATAGAGGACCCGGATATGAATCCACACAGCTATGCCCACCTGATTTTTGACAAAGGCGCTTAAAAATATTCAATGGAGAAAGACAGCCTCGTCCACAAATGTTGGGAAAAGTGGTTATCCACCTGCAAAAACTGAAACTAGATCCATGTCTATCACCCTGTAGTAGTATCAACTCAAAATGGATCAAGGACCTAAATATCAAGACCCGAAACTCTGAAGTTGGTTTAGGAAAGAGCAGGAAACACTATGGAAGTAACAGGTATAGGCAAGGAGTTCCTCAATAGAACCCCAGCAGCTCAGCAACTAAAAGAAAGGATGGACTTCATAAAACTAAAAAGTTTCTGCACAACAAAAGAAATAGTCTCTAAATTGAAGAGACCATGCAGAGAGTGGGGAAAAATATTTGCCAGTTATACATCAGACAAAGGAGTGATAACCAGAATATACAGGGAATTAAAAAACAACTCTCCCCAAATCAATGAACTAATAAAGAAATGGGCAACTGAACTAAACAGAACTTTCTCAAAAGAAGAAATCCAAATGGCCAAAAAACACATGAAAAAATGCTCACCATCTCTAGCCATAAAGGAAATGCAAATCAAAAGCACACTAAGATTCCACCTCACCCTTGTTAGAATAGCCATCATCAAAAACACTACTAACAACAGGTGTTGGCAAGGATGTGGAGAAAAAGGAACCCTCGTACACTGCTTGTGGGAAAGCAAGCTAGTGCAACCATTCTGGAAAAAAAATTGGAGGCTTCTTAAAAATCTAAAAATACATCTGCCTTATGATCCAGCAATCCCACTCCTGGGGATATTCCCAAAGGAATGCAACACAGGTTACTCCAGAGGCACCTGCACACCCATGTTTATTGCAGCACTATTCACAATAGCCAAGTTATGGAAACAGCCAAGATGCCCCACTACTGATGATGGATCAAGATAATGTGGTACTTGTACACAATGGAATTTTACTCAGCCATGAAGAAGAATGAATTCTTATCATTTGCAAATAAATGGATGGAACTGGAGAACATCATTCTGAGTGAGGTTAGCCAGGCTCAGAAACCCAAAAATTGTATGTTCTCCCTCATATGCAGACTTTAGATCTAGGGCAAATGCAGCAGTGTTGTTGGACTTGGGTCACACGCTAAGGGGAGAGCACATATGGGAGGAATGGGGAAAGGTAGGAAACCCAAAACTTGAAAGTGTTTGCTGTCCCCACTGCAGAGGAACTAATACAGAAACCTTAAAGCGACAGAGGTCAATATGGGAAGGTGATCAGGAAGTAGTGAAAAGGTCAGGTAGAGATGAATCAACTTGGGTTGTAACACATTTGTACATGGAAGCAATGCTAGGGATCTCTCTGTATAGCTATCCTTATCTCAACTAGCAAAAACGCTTTGTCTTTCTTATTATTGCTTTTGTCTTCTCTTCAACAAAATTAGAGATAAGGGTAGAACAGGTTCTGCCTGGAAGCTGGAAACAAGGAGTGTTGGGCGGGAGAGGGAGGAGGCAGGGGGTAGGGAGGAGAAATGGCCCAAACAATGTATGCACATGTGAATAAATGAATAAAAAGAGAAATGTAAGTTTTATTTTTATCATACATGTTGAGAGTTTAATTAGTCCTATAATTAACTACTTCCCGTCACAGTAAATAATCCTTATTTATTAGTTTCAACAATTGCATAATATGCATATAAAATCACAGGAAATACAGAATACTGCCTTTCAATACATTCCTATTGTAATCAATCAGATCGTTCTAATCAGTTAAGATTCAAGTCTGCTATTTCAGGGAACTTCAGTTCACAGTAATAATGTATAGATCCGTATTTATTTAAAATGCATTTTCACCTATGTCTATATTTCCTTTAGAACACGAGTTAGTTTGAAGCTTTTGTCGGTGGGTTTTAATACAGTCAGTGGCAGCGGAAGCTGATGAGCTCGTGCGCACAGGGCTGGGTGGAAACCGTGCGCAGGGCTTCCGCACTCCTCCTCTGCGTGAACACCGCATTCTCACCAGAGCCGGGGTTCCTTCCCTTCCCTCCCATGGAAAGCAAACCTAGAGTCTGGGTAAAAGTGACATCGATTCTGGTCGGAGGAGATCATTTCAAATGCAGTTATTTTTCCATTGGTCATGCGTCCAGATTACCGAACTCCCCCCACCGGGGAGGTCATTCATTCATCTTTGCAGCATGGAGCAAAGCACTTTCTAAATACGAATTTTTCAATGCTTGTTAGAGAAACCAGTGAAGAAAGGCGACACAACCCCCCAAAGTGGCCGGATTTCGCTAGCATAAAAAAAGCTGCAGAGGGAACGCGCACAGCTAGGCCAGGAGGCTTTGGCCGCGCGCGCCAGGCCGAGCTTGCTCCCGCGCAGCCTCGCAGCCTGCAGGTCTGGTTCAGGCCAGGGGTGAGGGGCACCCGGAGCCACAGACCCCAGGCCCAAGGGCTTCCCCACGCCCTCCGAAGATTGCGCGAGGCCGGGAGAGATCGCAAAAGCGAACGCAGAGTGCGCATGCTCCTGGCCTGCCCCGCGACCCGCCGCAGTCCGCCAGCGTGAAAGTCCACTTCTCCAGCGTTTCTAGGTGACGCTAGAGAGCCCGGACACAAACAGCTTCCCTGAAGCGGAGGCGGCTGAGCGCCGACTGACCCGTGGCTGCTCGCAAGGCCCGGAACAGATTTGGAGCCATTCCATGCGCCTGCGCGCTCCGGACATGCGCAGTGGCCTCCCGCGGCGGGGCCGGCGGCAGCGGCAGTGTCGAGACTCTGCCGGAAGGTCCTGGTGTTTGAGCTGTAGGCTCTTAGCTCCTGGGTCATGTCGGCCCAGGGAGACTGCGAGTTCCTGGTGAAGCGAGCCCGGGCGCTGGTGCCCCAGGACCTGTGGGCAGCTAAGGCCTGGCTGATCACGGCTCGCAGCCTTTACCCGGCCGACTTCAACATCCAGGTGAGGTCAAGCCCCCGCGGAGGTGTGAGCCGCGCTCTGCGCCCGGGGCGCCCTGGCGCTTGGCCGGGTCACCGTCCCCTTCCCCGCAAAGCTCCCCTTCTCCCCTGTGCACCTTTCACCTGCCTCCCCCTGCGCCTGGAGAGGCAGGGAGCCCATTTTAGAGGTCGGTTGGTCCGTGGAAGTGTGTTTTGTGGCAGTACAGTGTCAACACTAGGAAAAGGCCCCTCTCTGGTTCATTCATCACAGTGGCAGGTATTTATCCAGCGCCCGCTACTTAGACGACGCTGTGTCACCTAGTCCTGGGAGCCTCACTGGGGTGGGCGCAGGGTCCTGCTCCTCTGGCGAGGCTACCGAGCTGGCCTTGTGTCGCCAGGCGGTACGTGGCGCTCAGGCCTGCCTTCCCCGGGAGCTATCAGTGAAGGATGCTGGCGGGGAGCTGGAGCTGGAGCTGGAGCTGGAGCAGCCCGGGCGGAGGGTGGTGACACACCTGCTGTATGTTGCAGCATGAGATGTACACCATCGAGTGCAATGCAGAGAGGACGGCCACCGCGGGAAGGCTGCTGTATGACATGTGAGTGGCTGTGTGCCTGACACCTGGGACCACTGTCGTGGAAGTGGGGATTGGGGAGGATCTTCAAGTTCATGCACATCCTTACTACCAAAGCTTACTTAACCACGAAGCCAGGCCTTCCCTCACTTGCTGGAATGCCTTCTGTGGGGAAGTGTTTTTATTCTAATGTTTTATCCTTGCTAAAACTTCTGTCCAGTATTTTATTCATTGCTAACTTTCAAACCGTACTTAGTTGGTAGAGAATAAAAATTGAATGGCCCTGTCAAACTCAGTCGGAGTTTTTTCTGTGTCTGTACTTCTGTGCATAATACATACATACATACTTTTTTAGGGGAAAAGGTTACAAAAGTGAGGTCATGCCAGCTTGGCTTCTTTTACCCAGTGTGATGGACCTGCTCCCTGTCACTGTAAGGTCCAGCTCATTCTTTCTGATGCCTGTGTAGCATTTCAGAGCCATGCATTTCTTTGTGGACATTTAGATAGTTTCCAGTTATTTAGAATTATGTTGAGAATGTCAGTAAGTTTGTAACTGTACTTTGGTGTTTTCTGTGGCAGGGGACTCTAAAACACATGTCTTAATAGTTAATAGCTAACAGGGTATGTACATTTTAAGTTTGATCCACTATAAATAATTCTTCTAGAATTATAAATTGTCCTAATTTGTATTTCCACCAGTGGTGTAGGAGAGTACACCTTACCAAAATTGGATGAGTCTGTCTCTCAGTTTCTTTCTCTCTTTCTCTCCCCCCCACTTCTTTGAAACAGTCTCACTATGTTGTCCGGACTGTTCTTGAACATGTGAACTCAAATGATCCTCCTGCCTTAGTCTCCTGAGTAACAGGGACTATAGGTTTGTGCCACCATGCCTGGCTTATCAGTCTCTTTTTAGTATTTGCCACTGGGAAAAACTGCCGTCTTGGTATTTTGTTTTTAAAATTTGTATTACTCATGCTGTTAATAAGATTGAGTATCATTTCAAGTTTTTCTACAGCTGATTTGTGGTCTATGATTTGCTTCTGTCCATTTTTTCCTTTTAGATATTTGTTTTGTCCTTGTTGATTTTTAGGAATTTTTTTTTTTTTTAAGAAAAAATGAAGGATTTGTTAGGACACTGCTTAAAGTGAACCAAGGAGTACTGTTGCTGCTCTGATAAGGGGTTAGGGGCAGGCTTTTATGGGGTTCTTTGGACTTTGCTGATTGGCTATCTAGAAGTTCTTTATATACTGAGGTTGTCTTTTCACTTACAAGAACTTCTAAAGACTGTGAGTACTCTCATTTTTCTAAGCTTTTTGGATCTTTATTTTGGGATTTTTTTTGGACATAGCTAAACATTTACTTAAAGAAAAATGGTTTTCTTCAAATGCTAATATTCTTATTTTCTTTTGGATACTGTATAGGATCTAACATTTTAATTTAATGTATTCATTTTAAAAATAGGTTTGTGAATTTCCCAGACCAGCCAGAGGTATGGAGAGAAATCAGCATTATTACATCAGCGTTAAGAAATGATTCACAGGATAAACAAACCCAATTTTTTAGAAGTAAGTGTGGAGTAGAGCTGGGAATGGTGGTGTAAACCCAGCACTCAGGAGGCTGAAGCAAGAGAATCTTAAGTTCAAGGCCAGCCTGGGCTATGTAGCTACATAGGGAGACCCTGTCTCAAAACAAACAAAAAACCCATACAATATATGTATGTGTATACATACATACATATATACAATTTTCTTTTTTTTGGCAGTACTGGGGTTTGAACTCAGGGCCTCCTGTTTGTTCCTGAGCCATACATACCCCAAGCCCCTTTTGCTTTAGTTTATTTTTCAGATAAGTTCTGGTTCTTTTGCCCAGGGCCAAACTTGGACCAAATCCTCCTAACTTCTGCCTCCCAAGTAGGTGGGATTAGAGGTGTATAGCACCATGCCTGGCCCTGGAGTAATCTTAAGGGTATATAAAATACCATTTCTGGAATGCCACATCATATACGGAAGTTTTACTGAAAAGTAACACCTGTGGAATTGGTACCCACACATGTTTTATTCTTAGCCATTAAAGTCTGTAATGATATCATTCCATCTCTTGAACATTTACTTAGAGCCCTTTAAGCTTGCGCAATGCCTGTGGATCTGTTAGATCATGGGATTGAATATTTTTTACATGTTACAGTAACCAGAAAGCATTGATATATGATCTCCACAAAAGAAACTTTTCATGATTTGTAACCTTTTTCTTTAAGCTTCTGTGTTGGTTGCTGTAGCTAATAAAAGGTTTCAAATTGTGGATGAAATAGAAAGTAGATGACTTAGGTCATTTCCACTTCACACTCATGCTCTTATCTCACCACGCAGCAACAAGCACTGTTGTGGCTGTTCACACTCCATCCTTGTCTTCTGGATCCATAGGACCTCCAACGGTTTTATGATTATTCAGCAGCTATCCTGTGGCACCAGGTACTCTGGAATTCACAAGCCTGCTGGATTGTGGGTTGTAGGTGAAACCTGACCACAGCGATTGTTTACTATTCTGTTAGCATTTTTGGACCAGTGCTTTTTTTTTGGTTTTTTGTTTTTCTGAAAGAACACTTAAAGGTGAAATGTGTTGTGTACAGGTTTATTTGAGACTCTTCCGGGTCGGGTCCAGTGTGAAATGTTACTAAAGGTCACAGAACAATGTTTCAGGACATTGGAACGATCAGAAATGCTGCTGCTGCTGCTGAGGCGGTTTCCTGAGACGGTGGTGCAGCATGGGGTAAGGCAGATGCTCTCCTTCTTCTTAAGGAAAATAAATTGGCGATCATCAGATCAGTCAGTATGGCTAGGAGCTACGGTGTGCATTATACTAAAGCAGAGATTCTCAGACATCGAATGACATGGGATGTAAATCAAGAGATTCTTAGTAAAGCTGAAAGGTCATCATGTTATCAAACATTAATTACACATTTCCAGGAGAAGTTGCCCTATCAGTGTAAAAAAAACCATCAAAGTCTAACCGTAGTATTTATTTGCAATCTGTATAGTGAAAAATCATCTTTTCCCATTGCATTTGACATGTGCTTGAATTTAAATGAGAGTCATAGTTTATGGTCCTCTGTGGACTCTGGACATTTCCCTCTGTTCCTGCCTCTTCCCTACATCTGTGGTAATTACTGAGTGTGATGTGCAGGCACTGGTAAGTACTAGGTATCTCTTAAAGAAGTCAAGTCTTAACTGTTCAGTAACATGCCTTCACCACTGAGTACTCAGGGTGCAAACAGTTCAGTCTTCTCATTCAAACTCAATTTCACATCTTTCCCAGGCTATTTTTCTGGTTTCTGGCCCCATTCAGCCTTTTTTTATACATTCTTCTGTTAGTTTCCCTAGGAAGCTAGAAATGGGGTAACCACCAAAATTCTCTCACAGTTCTAGAAGTTGAAAGCCCAAAAGCAAGGTGCTGGCTGGGTCTCCTTCCCCTGAAGGCTCCAGGGAAGACCTCTTCCTTCCTTCTGGTGGTTATTCCTTGAACAGCAAGCTGCATCACCCCAGTTTCTGCCTCCGTGGTCACATGGCCTTTTTTCCTGTGTGTCTTTTCATGGCCTTCTTACAAGGACACCGGTTGTTGGCTTTCAGGCCTACACTAATCCAGTACTGCCTCATCTTATCTACAATGGCACTATTTTCTGCCTTCCCCTTCCTTTTCCCATCCCCCTTCTCTCCCTTCCCCAAAGGGATTGAACCACGGCCTTGTATATGCTATATAAGTACTCCATCACTTAGCCTTATCCCCAGTCTTTTTCTAAAGTTTTCTTTTGAGACAGGGTCTAGCTAAAGTTGTTCAGGCTGACCTTGAACTCACTAAGTGACCCAGGCAGGCCTCAAAAATGTGATCCTGCTGCCAGAGCCTCCCAAGTAGCTGAGATTGCAGGTGTGTATTACCATGACTGCTAAGACATTATTTTCTTTTTTTGCCAGTACTGAGGTTTGACTCAGGGTTTGGCACTTGCTAGGCAGGTGCTCTACCACTTGGGCCTTGTCCCCAACCCATTTTGCTTTAGTTATTTTTCAGATAGGATCTTGTTGTTTGACCAGGCTGTCCTGGGACCATGATTCTCCTATTTATGCCTTCCCTGTAGCTGGGATCACTGATGTGCACCACCAGTGTTTGAGATGAGGTCTCAAGAACTTTTTGCCCAGGCTGGTTTCCAACTTCGATCCTCCTAATCTCTGCCTCCCAGGTCATTGGGATTATAGGCGTGTTCACTATTTTTGGTAGACGCTATATAGCTATGTATCTCATAATGATATTTTGATCAATAGTGAATTGCATATATGACAGTAGTCCCATAAGATTGTGTCGCCTAGTGACTACACTAGTGATCTTAGTGTGTGAAAGTTCACTCTGATGTTCAAAAAATGACAGTTGCCAAAGATGTATTTCTCAGACTGTATCCCTGTTGTTAAGTGACACTTGGCTGTGTGAAATCGCATTCTGAACTTCTGAGTGCTTATGAATTAGACCGGCATTATTCAAGCCAGTACAGCCCCTGACCACTACAGTGACTTCCAACCTGTGTAGTTAAACCTCTCGCACTGCTCCACCCCTACTGTATCGCTTCCCTGTGTGGTTACCAGATGATAATATAAACATCTTGATGAATTTCAGCAAGGAACTTTCTACTGTACTAGGGCCTAAGTGACGGAAACACTTTACAACTCAGGTGTTTCTCTCTCACCTTTCCCAAATTGTGTACTGTAATCTTGAAAATAAAATTTGCCCATCTCATAGATCTTGATACAGAGAATGAAGTCAGTTCCACATTTCTTAGAAAGTCTCTCTACCAGTGTTACCATTTCAACTCAGGTTCCCCTGCTCCACTGGAGATTCTGTAAACACTTTCTGAGCCTGTGAGTTCAAAGTGGTCAGGTGGACAGGTGAATTTGGCTTTCTGGGCTGTGTTGCTGTTGCATTCTTATGTCTTAAAGACTAGTGAGATTGTTTTTCTCAGAGAAGTTTGACTGTACAAACTGTGCAATAAATAAAAGAATACCGCATTTCTTCATGTAGTTCTAACATCTTAACACATTTAAGTGATTAACTTTATTTTGACACAGGTTGGCCTTGGGGAGGCACTGTTAGAAGCTGAAACCATTGAAGAACAAGAATCTCCTGTTAACTGCTTTAGAAAATTATTTGGTAAGAAAAATTGAATTTTATATTACCTTCTTGTGATAAGTAAAATATGCCAGGTAAGTACCATTCAGGGATAAGATCATTTGTAGAGAGCAAAGGAGTTCTTTGTATTATGGGATTTAAAATGTTACTCACTTTTTCAATCCTGAAAACATTTTAAACAGCTTGGAAACTTTTATTATGTAGTATTTGATACCTCTGAAAGAATACGTATAGCCGTATAAGTTAGTAGGAAGCACATTAGCAAACATCTGTGTCTATGGTCCAGTGTAGCCCTTTACACAAATACCCAGTTTGCTTTGTGTTTCCTTGCTGCCTCCTTCCACAGATGTCTCTTTGCATAGCACTTTTTAAATAAATGTGTCATAAGGGATTTTTCCCGCTGTGTATTTTAGATGCTATGTCAAGTGAACTCTAAAATGAATTGTGCTTTGCCCAAACCCTAAGGTACACAACCTGATTCGTTTTTTTAATTTTTTCCATTGAACAGTTTGTGATGTCCTTCCTCTAATAATCAACAACCATGATGTTCGATTGCCTGCCAATTTGTTATACAAATACTTGAACAAAGCAGCTGAATTTTATATCAACTATGTCACTAGGTCTACTCAAATAGAAAGTCAGCATCAAGGTAAGTGGAACATGATGCAGCTTTATTTACACAGATGCTAGTAATATTGTAAGGTGAGAAATCTCCTATCATTCTGATTATTCTTCTCAAGGTGCATGCCAGTCTGATAGTTTCTCTAAAAGGTGACATGTAGACAAAATTGATGAGACTTTTCTGGACCCCTTTACACCCCTCGATTGAACAGAGTAGTCACTTACCTGAAGCGTTAGTGCACTACATTTCATACAAATACCACAGCTCAAAATTCACTCTTGTTTAGACCCGTGGCCAGTTGTGTGTCCTTGAACATGTGTATAGTCACACATTGCTTAATGATGGAAATACATTCCAAAAAATGTGTTGTTAGGTTACATCATTGTGAGCACATCATAGAATGCAGTTATGCAAACCTAGCACAGCCTGCTACACACCCAGGCTGTGTAGTTTAGCCAATTGCTCTTGGGTGTAAAGCTGCACAGCACATTAATGTACTGACTGCTGTGGGCAGTTGTAGCACCATGGCAAGCATTTAATATAGAAAAGTGCAGTAAAGATACATTATACACAACAAGAAATGATGTATCTATTTAAAGCACTGGCCTTGAACACAGCCTGCAGATTGGAGGTTGCTATTGGTGAATCGGAGTGAGGGGTCAGTGAATTCGAGGGCTGGGATGGTGCTGTCCTCTGCAGTGGGCTTTATAGACACTGCAGACTCAGGCTAACTAAGTTTTGGAAAAATGTTTTCTTTCTTCAGTAATAAATTAACCTCTTTAAACTTTTTGATTCTTTTTTTAATATCTTAAAACATTGTGAGCTGTAAAAAAATATTTTTGTTCTTTAAATCTTTATAAACTTTTTCCTATTAAATCTTTTTAAACTCTTGTTAAAAAATACAACACAAACACACACATTAGCTGTGGCCTACATAAAGCAGGATCATCAGTATCTCTGTCCTTCAGCCTCCCCTGTCCTTCATCCTGTCCCACTGGAAGGTCTTCTGGGGCGATATCTGCACAGAGCTATCACCTACTACGATGAGAATGCTGCATTCTTCTGAAACACCTCCTAGAGACCCACCTGAGGCCCACCTGAGGCTCTTTTACAAGAGATGTCGGTTTTGTTCTTTTTTTTTCTTTTTATAAATACATCCGTGGTGATTTGCTTAGTTTGGTTCTTTTTTTCATCATAGGTTTTCTTGTAAGCAGAAATTGCACCATGATACTATGATACCTCTGCATTAGAGAACACCTCTGGTTGTTCCTGTCCATGTTTTCAAACTGTAGGGAGTTTGTTGAACTCTGCCAAAGCTTCTTTCAGTCCCTTCACTGAATTTTCTTGGGAGTTCTTCTTTTTTATGTTCCTGTACCTTCCTTTTCTCTTGCCTCCTCTTCAACTGTGTGTTCACTAGGTGATAGGACTGTTTCAGCTCCATGATTATCTATGGGATCCATTGTATAAGCAGTCCAGCATTGATGGAGATGTGCCCTGCATGACTGTGATGTGTGGGGTCTGTGCTCTTCTTTTCAACGAGGAGTCAAACTTCTTTCTCTATCAAGTACCTCATAGATAGTAAGTTGTGATGTTAATTGTACACTTTTTTTCTCACATCTCAGGTGCCCAAGATACATCTGATTTAATGTCGCCTAGCAAACGTAGCTCTCAGAAGTACATAAAAGAAGGGCTTACTGAAAAATCATCCCAGATTGTGGACCCCTGGGAGAGATTGTTTAAGATCTTGAATGTTGTTGGAATGCGATGTGAGTGGCAGATGGATAAAGGAAGACGGTAATAAATAGCTTATTTCTAGAGTCACCTGTCAGTGTTTTGATTGAATAATCCCCTCATTAAAACACATATACACTTATGCATAACCATGTGTTACAGCGTTCTCTTTGGGCAAATTTTGTAATAATATTTATGCAGAATTTATGGCTTTATTAAAAGATTCCCAACTGAACTCTTAAGGTGGTATTGAGTTTGAAGCTCACTGTGGTGGTTCAGAAAAAAATGAAGTTACCTGGCTTGTTTCTGTCTTGAAATATTAGCATATTTCAAAAGGAAAATTGCCACTCATATTTAAATAATAAAGAATAATTTAAATATGAGTAGATACTTCTCAAAAGAAGCTCAGATGGCTGACAAATACATGAAACAATACTTACCTTCATTAGCCATCAGTGAAATGTAAATCAACCAATGAGAAACCATCTCATCCCAGTGAGAATACCCGTTATCAAATAGACAAGAAATAACATCCTGTAAGAATGTAGAGCAAAGGGAGCATGTGTTCACTGTTGATGGACATGCCAATGAATGCAGCCACCATGGAGAATGGTATGGAGGAAGAACTACCTCATGATCCAGCTCTCCCTCTTCTAGATATACATCCAGTGAAAATGATAGCATAGCAAAGAGACACCTGTAGCTTCACAATAGCCAAGATAGGGAATCAACTAACTAGCTGCCCATTAGTGGAAGAAAGAATAAAGAAATTGTGGTATATAGACACAATGGAATATTATCTGGCCATAAGAAGAATGATACCCTATTATTTGTGGCAAAGTGAAGGGAACTGGTAAACATTATGTTAAATGAAATAAGTTCTGCAGAAAGACAGAGTCCACATGCTCTTTCTCATACGTGAATGTTAGTGTTTTTAGACCCTTTGCTGACAAGCCTGGATAGTTGAAATTAAGTTTTATAATTGTGTGTCTTTCAGAAGCTATGGTGATATATTGCATAGAATGAAGGACCTCTGCAGATACATGAACAACTTTGATAATGAAGCTCACGCCAAGTATAAAAACCAAGTAGTGTATTCCACTATGCTGGTCTTCTTTAAGAATGCATTCCAGTATGTCAACAGCATACAGCCATCTCTCTTCCAAGGTGGGTTAACTAACTGTGGAGTAGTCCAAGGTTCTTGTGTAGTGGGGCGTTGAGGACAAAAATGTTTGCTTTCACTGTTGCTGCTGTGTCCAAACCTGGGGTGTTTCTAGTGCTCTGATTCAGTTGCATGGAAGGTGGTAATTGTTATGTAAAAATGTTTTTATTAAAAATTCCTGTATCAAAGGTTATCGTGGTACTGAACCTAAATACATATATCAGGTGCTGCTATTTTGAAAAAACAGCTGATGTAGCAAGGTATTAAAGTAGATCTTCTGAAGACAGATTTCTTTAGACTATACATTTGACATGTACACATAAATAATGTGGAGGTATATCCTAGAAAGCTTGAAAAATAGCAATAAGAGGGTGAAACCACCCATAATCCTTTCAATTATAGTTTTTCATATTTTTGTATTTTGTTTGGAATGTATAACCATCATGTGTATAATTTTATAGTCTTGTTTTTTATTAATTTTATGAGTCATGGTCACTGTTAAAAAATTTCAGATGCAGAAGAACAAATACAAATACTTTATCTCAACACTAACAGAGAATATTTAATAACAATTTGGAGGCTGGACATGGTGGTGCATGCCTGTAACTCTAGTGCTTAGGAGACTGAGGCAGGAGATTTGTGAGCTGGAGGCCAGCCTGGGCTACATAGTGAGACCCTGTTGCTGTATATCTGTGTGGTCTTCTTCCTATATGTGTATTCCTAATTGGTATCTTATGTTTAGTTAGCTTTATTTTTCTATGGCAGTTGAACAAACTTCCCACTGATAATTAAGTATTCTTTGTCTTGCTGCATTTTTAATGTTGGTATTTTCTCCTATCCATAGGTCCTAATGCCCCAAACCAAGTTCCCCTGGTCCTTCTTGAAGATGTGTCAAACGTATATGGTGACGTAGAAATTGACCGTAATAAACACATACATAAAAAGAGGAAATTAGCTGAAGGGAGAGAAAAACCCATGGTAATCCTTTCAGATTTAATTATTAATACATTACATGTTGTTTGTGGTCTTCCTAGAAAAAAAATCTTTGTAAAATGTGATCTTGAAATTAAATTATTCAGTATAATTACTGTATAAGTGAGTAGATCTCACTGGAGGCAGTTTTGCCCCTAGGGGACATGGCAATGTCTGGAGATATTTTTAATGTTATATATAACCTGTGTTCTTGGTGGGTAGGAACTGCTAATTACTATCAAGTGGGTAGAGGCCCAGGATTGTCCTGGGCACACATGTACAAGGCAACCCAAAGACCAGTAGTGACAGATGTGTGTTACTACCCAGGTTTTTTTTTTTTTAACTTACAACTTGTTCTTTATTTATTTTTAACACATTATTTTCATTTTATATTTTATGTAAGTTTTAATATATTTTACATATCAATATAGTAATATATTACTGGGTTTTTTTGCCTTTTTTTCCTCTTTATTCATATATTCATATGCACATACATTGTTTGTGCCATTTCTCCCCCCTCTCCCTCCCAACCCCCCTCAATTTCAGGCAGAACCTGTTTTGCCCTTTTCTCCAATTTTGTTGAAGAGAAGACAAAAGCAATAATAAGAAAGACAAAGCATTTTTGCTAATTGAGATAAGGATAGCTATACAGAGAGATTCCTAGCATTGTTTCCATGCACAAGTGTATTGCAACCCAAATTGATTCATCTCTACCTGACCTCTTCACTACTTCCCAGTCACCTTCCCATATTGACCTCTGTAAATTTAAGGTTACTGTAGTAGCGCCTCTGTAGTGGGCACATCAAACACTTTCAAGTTTCGGGTTCCTATCCCCATTCCTCCTGTATGTGCTCTCCCCTTAGTGTGTGACCCAAGTCCAACAACATTACTGCTTTTGTCCTAGATCTGAAGTCCACTTATGAGGGAGAACTTATGAATTTTGGTCTTCTGAGCCTGACTAACCTTGCTCAGGATAATGTTCTCGAGTTCCATCCAGCCATCTACTTGAGAATGATAAGATTTCATTCTTCTTCATGGCTGAGTAAAATTCCATTCTGTATAGATCCCACATTTTCTTGATCCATTTGTCAGTGGTGGGGCATCTTGGCTGTTTCAATAACTTGGCTATTGCGAATAGCACTGGAATAAACATGGGTGTGCAGGTGCCTCTGGATAACCTGAGTCACATTCCTTTGGGTATATCCCTAGGAGTGGTATTGCTGGATCATATGGCAGATCTATGTTTAGATTTTTTAAGAAGCCTCCATATTGTTTTCCAGAGCAGTTGCACTAGTTTGCATTCCCACCAGCAGTGTATGGGGGTTCATTTTTCCCCACATCCTCGCAAACACCTGTTGGTGGTGGTGTTTTTGATGATAACTGTTCTAACGGGTGAGTGGAATCTTAGTGTGGTTTTGATTTGCATTTCCTTTTATGGCCAGAGATGATGAGCATTTTTTCATGTTTTTTGGCCATTTGAATTTCTTCTTTTGAGAAAGTTCTGTTTAGTTCAGTTGCCCATTTCTTTATTGGTTCATAGATTTTGGGGGAGTTAAGTTTTTTGCGGTACCTGTATATTCTGGTTATCAGTCCTTTGTCTGATGTGTAGCTGGCAAATGTTTTCTCCCACTCTGTGGGTGGTCTCTTCAGTTTAGAGACCATTTCTTTGGTTATGCAGAAGCTTTTTAATTTTATGAAGTCCCATTTGTCCATTCTTTCTCTTCGTTGCTGAGCTGCTGGGATTCTGTTGAGGAAGTCCTTGCCTATACCTATTGCTTCCAAAGTATTCCCTGTACTAATTCATAGTTTTGGGTCTGATATTAAGGTCCTTGATCCATTTTGAGTTGATACTAGTACAGGGTGATAGACTTGGATCTAGTTTCAGTTTTTGTAGGTGGATAATCACTTTTCCCAACAATATTTGTGGAAGAGGCTGTCTTTTCTCCATTGAATATTTTTAGTGCCTTTGTCAAAAATCAGGTGGGCATTGCTATGTGGATTCATATCCGGGTCCTCTATTCTGTTCTACTGGTCTTCATATCTGTTTTTGTGCCAGTACCATGCTGTTTTTATTGCTATTGCTTGGTAGTATAGTTTGAAGTCAGGTATTGTGATACCTCTAGCATTGCTCTTTTTGCTGAGTGTTGCCTTGGCTATTCACGGTCTCTTGTGATTCCAAAGGAATTTTAGGGTAGATTTTTCAGTCTCTGTGATGAATGTCATTGGGATTTTGCTGGGAATTGCACTAAACATGTAGATTGCTTTTGATAGTATAGCCATTTTTACTATGTTGATTCTACCGATCCATGAGCACAGGAGATCTTTCCATCTTCTATAGTCTTCCTCCATCTCTTTCTTCAGGGGTTTGTAGTTCTCCTTGTAGAGGTCATTCACATCCGTTATTAAGTTTACTCCTAGGTATTTGATTTTTTTTTTGAGGCTATTGTAAATGGAATTGTTTCCATATATTCCTTCTCAGTTTGTTGTTGGTGGTGTATAGAAAAGCTAATGATTTTTGTAAGTTGCTTTTGTATCCTGCCACCTTGCTGTAACTGTTTCTGGTGCCTAGGAGGTTTTGGGTAGAGTGTTCTGGGTCTTTAAGGTATAGGATCATATTGTCTGCATATAGGGATATTTTGACAGTTTCTTTACCTATTTGTATTCCTTTTATTCCTTCTTCTTGCCTAATTGCTCTGGCTAAGAATTCCAGTACTATGTTGAATAGGAGTGGAGATAGTGGGCATCCTTGTCTTGTTCCTGATTTTAGGGGAAATGGTTTCAGTTTTTCACCATTAACTATGATGTTGGCTATAGGTTTGTCATATATAGCCTTTACAATGTTGAGGTACATTCCTTCTATTCCTAGTTTTCTTAGAGCTTTTATCATGAAGTGGTGTTGGATCATATCGAAGGCTTTTTCTGCATCTATTCAGATGATCAAGTGGTTTTTGTCTTTGTTTCTGTTAATGTGCTATATTACATTTATAGATTTTCGTATGTTAAACCACCCCTGCATCCCTGGGATAAAGCCTACTTGGTCATAGTGAATAATCTTTTTGATGTGTTGTTGAATTCGGTTTGCCATTATTTTATTGAGGATTTTTGCATCAATGTTCATTAAGGTGATTGGCCTGTAGTTCTCTTTTTTGGAGGTATCTTTGTCTGGTTTTGGGGTAAGTGTAATACTGGCTTCATAAAATGAGTTAGGCAGTTTTCCTTCCCTTTCTATTTCAGGAACAGTTTAAGGAGAGTTGGCATTAGTTCTTTTTTAATGGTCTGATAGAATTCAGCTGAGAATCCATCAGGTCCTGGACTTCTCTTTTTTGGGAAACTATTGCTGCTTCAATTTCATTTCATGTTATACATCTATTTAGGTAATTAATGTTCTCTTGGTTCTATTTTGTGTGGTCATAAGTATCTAGAAATTTGTCCATTTCTTCAAGATTTTCAAATTTATTGAAATATAGGTTCTCAAAGTAGTCTCTGATGAGTCCCTGGATTTCCTTGATGTTTGTTGTAATCTCCCCTTTTGCATTTCTGATTTTACTTATTTGGTTTTTTTTCTCTCCTCATTTTAGTCAGGTTTGTTACTGGTCTGTCAATCTTGTTTATTTTTTCAAAGAACCAGCTTTTTGTTTCATTGATTCTTTGTATGGTTTATTTATTTATTTTTTTTGGTTTCTATTTCATCAATTTCAGCCCTTGTTTTTATTATTTCTCTCCTTCTGGTTGTTTTGGGTTTTACTTGTTCTTGTTTTTCTAGGAGTTTGAGATTTAGCATTAGGTCATTGATTTGAGATCTTTCTGTCCTTTTAATAGATGCACTCATGGCTATAAACTTCCCTCTTAGGACTGCCTTGGCTGTGCCCCATAGGTTCTAGTAGGTTGTGTTTTCATTTTTATTAACTTCCAAGAACCTTTTAATTTGCTCTTTTATTTCATCTATGACCCACTGATCATTGAGCAATGTGTTGTTCAGCTTCCAATTGTTTGCTTGTTTTCTACTGTTGTTTTTATTGTTGAGTTCTAGTTATAATGCATTGTGATGAGACTGTATGCAGGGGATTATTTCTGTTTTCTTATACTTGCTGAGGCTTGCTTTGTGCCCTAAGATATGATCAATTTTGGAGAAAGTTCCATGGGCTGCTGAGAAGAATGTATATTGTGCAAAAGTTGGATGAAATAGTCTGTAGACATCAGCTAGGTCCATTTGATCTATGGTGTGATTTAGTTTTAGAATTTCTTTGTTGATTTTTTGTTTGTTTTTTTTTCTTCTGTCTTTCAGAGGCAGCTGCTTGGTCAGCTCCTCCCTCAGTGGGGTGTGACAGTTTAAGTTTTATGTTGTCCTCAGGTTCTGGAGATCAGCTCTGTAGCCCACCAACTCTCCTGCTTTGGAGTTGGGTTTTTGCTGTGTTGGTTTACTGGGGGCTTGTTTCTTTGCCTTGCCCCCTTTCTGTGGGGCAAGGTCAATGATCCTTTAGCCAGCCCCCTGCTGTCAGCATGTTGTGATGGTTTGCTAATTATTTTTCAATTTTGGAGTGTCGTTTGACTTTGGATGTTTCTCACTAGCTCAGGAGATGAGCTTTGTGGACTGCTGCCTACTCTATTCAAGGCAGCAGTTTATCACCTGCCCACTGTTGGCCCTTCTGCCTTTCCAGCCTTTGTTTACTGAAAGTTCGAGCAGATTTCAGCTCCTTGCTCCTCCCTCCTTCTTCAGTGCACTTTCTACAACTCCTTCCCTCTGCTGTGTGTTAGTTTTCAGTTCCTTGTTTATTGTTCGGGTTTTTTTTTTTTCAGGGGGTGATGTCAGTCTGCCCAGAGGGCTATACTGGTTTATCCTAGGGGTGGCTGTGGGAATACTGCATGGCACTTGTGGCTCGCCTGTTGGTCTGCCGAGTGCCTCCCAAGCAGGTTTAGAATGAGCATCTGGCGGCACAGCAGCCCTTCTGTTTCTCAGTGTAACATGCCGTGGAGAAGCTTTCCACAGGCTAGGGGTTCAGGATATTGAAGTTTTGATTCTTGCTGCTCTATTTCTGCCAAGTGTGGCTCCAGTGTCTCAGCAAGATATTTGATCACAGAGCTCATGCTCTCTGCTTCTGTGCCCTAGTTGCAATCTTGGATCTCTTCTTATCCAGATTTTGACTGAATGGTTAAGTTTACAAACAAAGCCAGACTCAGGAGTGGGCACTATGGCCTCAGAATGGAAAGGGTGGGTGTCCAGGATAGCCTGACCCTTATGCAAAACAAGAAGGCCTTCAAGAGAGCAGTGTTGAAATCCACCTGGAAGGATATAGAACATTTTGCCACTTGGCATTGGGAGGCAGATTTTGTTGAAAGAGGACAGTTTGTGCAAAGGTATAAAGGGACAAGTATGTGAAGAACTATCAGCCTCCTAACCTCGTCAGGTAGCAAGCCTGCGCAGGACAGGTTTCCTTTCTTACAGTACAGTCCTTAGTGTGTCACGTGAAAGTGGAGATGCCATCAGTTCAGGAGATGCTCCACTTTTCCTGTAGGTGGACAGGTAGTAAACATTTCCAGCTATGTAGTCCATATGGTCTTTATTGCTCTGTTTCAGCCCTGTTGTTTAAGTGTAAAAGCATCTATGGACAATGTGTAAGCAAGTAGCATGGCCGTATTCTAATAATATGTTATTTACAAAAATGGGATTTGGCCTGCAGGTCATTGTGTAATCCCTGCTCTAGCTGAAGTGCCCAATGGGAGCCAGAATGTGCACCCACTTTTTTGTCCTTTCTCCTCCCCTACTTCAGTGCCTACACTCCCTCTTCCTTAGTCTTCAGTAGTGCATTTTAGAGGACCCTGGGCACACAGAGATGTCCCTTAAGATCTGATTCCTTTGACATCTATAGGGTGTAGTGTTAGGGGGTAGGTTGGCACCAGGGAGACAAGATGTTGTGAAAGCTTGTGAGGTTGTTGATCCTTTGATAAACTAATTTATTTCCTCCCAGAAATGCTCACATGGACTTCTGCAAATTACTTCATGGTTGGCAGAAGCTTTGAAGCCCCAGGTTGAGGAAGTGCTTGCTGGGCACTTTCAGATGCCCCTTGTCTATTCGTTCCTTCTTTCCTGACATTCACAGGCTGGGTAAATCTTGTTAGTGCCCCTCCTAGCATATCTGGTGCTTTACACCAAGACCTGGGATACCCCTTTCTTCCACGTAGGTAGGAGGTGGTGTATTACTAATTCTGAGTAAAAGTTGTGATGTGTCTCCATATGGTTCAACATACACAGTGTAGCCCCAGTCCATCCATTTCTCTCCTTCCTCACCCCTCCCTCCCTGTCAGGCCATCACAGTCTCTTTCCTATGTAGTCACCCTTGCTCCCAACCTCCTTCTGTACCTGGCAAGCAAAGAGATCTTTTGAAACACGAATTAGACATCACTGATGGCCAAGTATTGCTGAGCAGGCCCTTCCACGCTGCAGACACTGTGGCCTCTGCACGCCTCTCACAGTCTGATCCCGGCCTCCCCTCCTGCCTCTGCCATGTCCAAACTCTGCTGCTGGAGTGCTTTTCCCTCAGATCTCTTCCAGACTGCGTCTTTGTCACTCAGTTCCAATCCCAGTGCTTCTCCCCTGAAGACCCATCTAATGGAGCTGCTCAGTGCTCTTACCACTATTTTAACTCTCTGCACAGCCCTTATTGCTGTCTACTTTTTTGTAGTTTATGTATTGTGGGTTTCCTGTCTGTGTCCCTTCACTAAAGTACAAGCTCCAGGGCACCAGGAACTGGGTCTGTCCTGTCTGTCACTGTGCCCTGGACATCTGAACAGTGCCTGAACAGTCCTTGTGAAAGGGTGAACTCCCAAAGGTCCTGCTTGGGCTTGGTGTCCAGGCTGTGGGTGGCTGCAGAAACCTGCTAGGCCTCTGTTTTTGCTTCTGGTTTTCCTCCCTATCCAATGCTTATCTGGCAGGCCCTATACTCATATCCTGGCCTTTCAACCAGTCTGGGATTTCTATCCACTTTTTTCATTCCTTAAACTGATTTCATCCTGGTTTTTGTCCCATCTTGCAGTCTGCCCCCACCCCATGCGGATCCAGCCAGGTCTGTCCTGTCATAGCAGAAGACCACCCTATAGTGAGCTTAGCTCACAGATGGGCCTTGCTTTACTCAAGTATATATATTTAAGTATATATATATATATATATATATATATATATATTTTTTTTTTTTTTTTTTTAAATAACCTACATTTAAAATTAGAAGCTTAGCATTTCTCCTAACAGTCCAGATTTCTGACTCATCTACCATGGGAATATGTGACAGCGCTCACACCTAATGGTGGCCAACACTGGAGCTGGGTGGTGGCTGCCCATATTAGATAGGCACATGGTCTCCACCCAGCCTAATTCACTGGCTCATGACATGCCAGATGACTGGAGCAGAATGAAGGTCCTATCCTGTAGGCAACCTCTTTCCCCACCTGGTGCACATATGTGTGTTCCCTGTAGGTGGAACCCTTGCTTCCAACCTCCCCTCACAGCTTCAGAAGGGATTTGTGCATTTCAAAATGGGTTTGTTACATTTTTACAAACTTTTTGGAACTCCACACTCTTCTCCCCCACACGGGGTTCTTTCATAAATTCCCGATCTCACTTAGAGGCAGAAGTGTTTCCTACACATTGCAGCACTAATGACATACTATTGATGACAGGATATGGATGGGATTAGATTGTCACTGCTTGACCAGGAGCAGGACCTGGTGAAGTAGAATGCCCGACAGATCGGCTTTGACTATGCAAGGGTGCCTGTCATTCCTGAGGGGGGCAGTGGAGGAAGGGATAGCGGGAGGATATTAATCTCTTGAAAATGAGGGAGAAAGAACGGTGGAGGAAGAGTGGTGCTAAAAGCAAGCCACCTCTTACATGGGACTCACGTAGGGAATGGAGCTTTTACCTAAAACATCTCCACGTATTTTAAACTGATTTTAGTGGAGCAAAAGTGTAGGAATAATTGAAGTTGGGTTATTGCACTAGTAGAATGACCTAGGTGGGATACAAGATTCAAGACATTCTCAGCAAGATAAAACTCAGTGGAGGGAGGCACTGCTTTGCCCTGACTGCATTTTAGCAGCATGGGTGTCCATGTCCAGTGACACTTGTAACAGTGGCCTTTCTCTGCAGCACTCTCTTTTCTTTGACTTTATATGATTCGAGATGAAGAGCAAGAAAAGTAAAACACAGAGGCCATTGCTAGATAAGCACAGACAGTTGCCTTCTCTTTGCCCTGGGGGGAGTAGAGCTAACGAGGGGTGGCCTTGCAAAAAGGAGTAATGGTTGGCAAGCAGAAGTCCACTGCCCATCGCTTCTCTGACAGAATGTCATGGGGAGCCCAGCCCTTAAATGTATTCCATAACATGACAAATACTGTTTGGAAGGGAATTAAATATTGAAGGGAAAAAAGTAAACTGTAAGATACCTAAGCTGTAACTCTCAATGTAAGAATCTAATTTGGAGCTTTTACAAAAAAGATTTTTTTTTAATTATTGGAAAATAAGACTTTATCATCAGAAAACTAGAATGTATGCAGACGTAAAGATGCAAATTGTATATTTTCAAAGCTAAATTGTTAAATTTTGAAAAATTATATTTTTTAATTACATAATATTCTTTTAAAAAAATTTGTGATACTAACTAGAGATTGAACTCAATCTCTAGTCACTTTCTTGTTTCTAGTTTTTTAGATACAACCTCGTCTCGCTAACTTTGACAGGGCTTGCCTCAAACTGTGGTCTTCCTACCTCTACCTTCCAAGTAGCTGGATTACGGCATATACCACCATGTCTGCCTCATGTAATATTCTTTGATATAAAATTAAAAATTCATAGTAGGCAGAATTAGCAGCAGTAAATAAAATAACTTCACAGTAGTGGCAGTAGTTGACTCTGCTTATAACTTGGAATCAAGTGTGTTCTTCCCATTCTTTAAGCAGAGTTCAGATGATGAAGAATGTTCCGCAAAAGGAAGAAATCGCCACATTGTAGTCAATAAAGCAGAGCTCACTAACTCCATTGAAGTGTTAGAAAGCTTTAAGTTGGCCAGGGAGAGCTGGGAGTTGCTCTATTCCCTAGAATTCCTTGACAAAGGTAAGAGTGTCCCTGTTGTTTTGTGTAGCTTAACTTTTTGTATAAAATCATTATGCCACTGGCAGTGTCTTCTCTTCTGCTAACTAGATTGATCTTAGGCGTTTTCACATCCCCCTGACCTCCTGGCACCTATTGTGGGTTATACTGTAACCAGCTTAGGCTGGAGTTTGAGGGGGAGTTTTTGGTCCTTTTTAATAAATTTGTACTTGGTTCTTGTGGGTGTTGTTTTTAGTTGTTCTTTCCCACTGCATTGGGTCTTCCTCAAGCTACCTGTGCCTAAGCTTACAACACGCATTGCAGTTTTTATTTGCATCAGCTTCATTGCCTGGAAAACTGAAAATTCAAAAGCTATAGAAAGCCTATTTTCTTTTGAGTTTAGACTTAACATAGAATTTTATCTGCATACTATTTAAACTAGTAGGGCTTTTACTATTACTTAGAAATCATAGCTCTTTGCTGACCAGTGCCTTTTAACTAGATTTTGGAATCAAGGCTTATTACTTTCCCTTTAGCCAGCAGATATTCATTCCCTAGCCGCCTGTCACAGGACAAGACAGAGCCAAGATATGTTAATCAGTGTAGCATCTTTGCTGCATCTAGAATTATGAACGTGTATATGACTTTTTTGGAAGAAAGTTTTCCTTTAGTTATAAATTGACCTTTTAAAAACTGAATAAAACCACTTAGTAGTGTTTTTGTGTGTTTATTGCTTTAAGTGGGTGAAAATGAAGTAGGACCTTTTCTGGGGAGGTTGAGGCAGCCTGGGGCACATAGCAAGATCCTGTCTTAAAAAAGAAAAAGATAAAATGTAATAATAGGTGAAAAACACAGTTCTCAGCACATGGTCTGTGCTTGTAAATGTTGGTGCCCAAAAGAAATACTGCTCGTGTATTAGTGATAAGTGTTATGTTCTGACTTTACTATCTAAAGCTACTATATGTCTTTTGGTAATTTGTCTCTGTGCTCTTTTGCTGAGTTTGCTTTGTTTTCTGCTCTCATATTTTTGGTGAATTTGCTTTTGAATTCTCACTCAGAGTTTACAAGAATTTGTGTGGCATGGAAGACGGACACTTGGCTGTGGTTAAGAATCTTCCTCGCCGATATGGTCATCTACCAGGTAGAGTGATGTACACTTTAGGTCCCCATGTGTGCTGAATGATGATTGCTGCAAACATGGGCCAGGTCTTCACTTTCACCTCAGAATACCTCCAAAATGACAAGATCATACCTTATATGGTGCTTTTGGTATATTTGGTCACATACCCATGCAAAAGTGAGATGTTTTCATAGAAGGTGAGACGTTCTCACCCTCCTTCCCTCTGCTCTGGTGGAGTCCTGCCCTACCACATGGTTTGCCAGCTTCTTAGGCCTAGATTGGGAACGTAGATCACTCTATGAGATGCTGAGACAGGTTGCTGCTTCATCCTCCATAAAGGAGAAAGGGTGTTCACAGCAGAGTAATTCTACAGAAATGGTCATCCACTGTGTACCTTATCAGAGAGCTTGTGTTGCTTTAATCCAGGGAAGAAAAATCTTTGTACAATTGGCCCTCCATACATATTTAGGCTCCACATCCATAGACTGAACCAACTGGAATTAAATACTTGAAAATAAAAATAGGTGTGCTGACCATGTGCAGACTTACTTTGTTTCAGTCCCTGAATGGTGCAGTGTGGCTGTTTCTGTGGCACTTACACTGTTTTATGTATCATGAGTAATCCAGAGGTGACATAAAGCATACAGGAGGATGTGTGTCGTTACATGCAAATCCTGCACCACTTTATATTAGGGACTTGAGCATCTACCTCCCCCCCACCCAGCCCCCGGGGTCCTGGAACCAGTCCTGAGGATTGCCAGGGATAGCTGTTCTTACGGAGTATTTCCATAGAGAATCTCGTCTGGCTTTAACTAAGTGAGTCTCCTTTTTCCTCCTCAGGTGGTCATACACAGCTACCTTACTTGTAGTGGCTTACTGGTTGCTTATTAAACTATGGAAGATTTTTTGGGGTGTTTTTGTTTGCTTGTTTTAAATGGCAGTGTTTTTCCCCTCTTTCTAAGGGTCAATACAAAAAGGCCATAGCCAGCCTGCATCATTTAGCAGCTCTCCAGGGATCACTTTCTCAGCCACAGATCATGGGACAGGGGACTTTGGAGCACCAGCGGGCACTCATCCAACTGGCAACCTGTCACTTTGCTCTTGGGGAGTACAGAGTGAGTACTGCACACCTTGAATGGAGCTGCAAGGTGCTCCAGACTAGCCCAGGAGCTCTCTTTCCTAGAATGGCTTTAAAATCAGTGCTGATTTGCTTGAATTTGACCTATTTTGCCAAGATGTATTATTTAATTTGCTGGAGAAAATCACAATGGTACTGTTTCCCTTAATTTTTTGTTTACTATAACTGTCCTGAAATTAGGTTTCGGTACTTTTCACATTTTCTTTTCATTTTACCATTTTAATGGAAGATAATTTTTAAAATTTCTTGCCAGGAATATCTTTAAAGTATAATTCATTCATTCCTTTTGCAGACTTAAAAGATAGCACAAATTTACCCACACAGATTGATTGATCTGTCTGTCTATCTATGTGTATCTCAGTCATCTAGTATTAGATACATAGAGCACTACTGCTCTTCACTGTTGTAAGGACCATAAAATAAACTTGTAGATTTGAGGGAGGGTGGGATTCAAATTCTGTGCCTAGTGCTTGCTAGACTAGGCATGCCCTAGCCATTTTTACTTTAGGTTATTTCTCAGATAGGATCTTGATTTTTTTGCTAGCCTAGGACCATAATCCTCCTATCTATGCCTCCCAGATAGCTGGGATCACAGATGTGCACACCACACCTGCCTATTGGTTGAGATTGGGTCTCATGAACTTTTTTTTGCCCAGGCTGACCTCAAACTACAATCCTCTTGATTTCTGTTCCCAAGTAGCTAGGATGACAGGTGTGAGTCACCACACCTGCTCTAAACTTGTAGATTTTGTTAGGCTAAGTAGACTCATTTCCTTTGAGGGCTTCGGTTTCTACCTCTGAGCTGATCACTCGTAGGTCTACATTGCAGTGTCTGGCTTATCTGACTTCTGCAATCTTATCCTGTCTCCAACCTAACTCAATATCCCCAGGTGTGAGTTTCCTGAGTTCTTGGCTATCTCAGTCTGCTTAGGCTGCTATGAAAACACCACAGAATAACTGGCACTAAACAGCAGAAGTTCATTTCTCATAGTTCTGGAGACTGAGAAGTCTAAGATCAAGGTGTAGGCAAATTCAGTGTCTGCACTTTCTCAAAAGAAGAAATTCAAATGGCCAGAAAACACATGAAAAAATGCTCACCATCTCTAGCAATAAAGGAAATGCAAATTAAAACCACACTAAGATTCCACCTCACCCCTGTTAGAATAGCCATCATCAGCAACACCACCAACAACAGGTGTTGGTGAGGATGCGGGGAAAAAGGAACCCTCTTACACTGTTGGTGGGAATGTAGACTAGTACAACCACTCTGGAAAAAAATTTGGAGGCTACTTAAAAAGCTGGACATCGATCTACCATTTGATCCAGCAATACCACTCTTGGGGATATACCCAAAAGACTGTTACTCCAGAGGCACCTGCACATCCATGTTTATTGCAGCACTATTCACAATAGCCAAGTTATGGAAACAGCCAAGATGCCCCAGCACTGACGAATGGATTAAGAAAATGTGGTATCTATACACAATGGAATTTTATGCAGCCATGAAGAAGAACGAAATGTTATCATTCGCTGGTAAATGGATGGAATTGGAGAACATCATTCTGAGTGAGGTTAGCCTGGCTCAAAAGACCAAAAATTGTATGTTCTCCCTCATATGTGGACATTAGATCAAGGGCAAACACAACAAGGGATTGGACTATGAGCACATGATAAAAGCGAGAGCACACAAGGGAGGGGTGAGGATAGGTAAGACACCTAAAAAACTAGCTAGCATTTGTTGCCCTTAATGCAGAGAAACTAAAGCAGATACCTTAAAGCAACTGAGGCCAATAGGAAAAGGGGACCAGGAACTAGAGAAAAGGTTAGATCAAAAAGAATTAACCTAGAAGGTAACACCCACGCACAGGAAATCAATGTGAGTCAATGCCCTGTATAGCTATCCTTATCTCAACCAGCAAAACCCCTTGTTCCTTCCTATTATTGCTTATACTCTCTCTACAACAAAATTAGAGATAAGGGCAAAATAGTTTCTGCTGGGTATTGAGGGGGGGAGCGGGAGGGGGTGGAGTGGGTGGTAAGGGAGGGGGTGGGGGCAGGGGGGAGAAATGAACCAAGCCTTGTATGCACATATGAATAATAAAAGAAAAATGAAAAAAAAAAAATTCAGTGTCTGCTGAGGACCCAATTCCTGGTTCGTAGAAGGCTCCTTACTGTGTGAGGCACAGGGGAGCTCTCTGGGGTTTCCTTTACAAGTTCATTAATCCCATTCATGAGAACAGAGTCAACGTGACCTAATCACCTCCCAAAGTCTCTACCAGTTGATACCTTTCCATGGGGCTGGGGTGGGGGTGGGAGGCTAGGTTTTAACAAATGAATTTGGGGAGCATACAAGCATTCAGAACATGTACTGGCCCTTAGACACAAAACTTACAGGTCAAGGTTGATTCTTAGTATCACTTATTTTTGATTTTGCCAATGTGACACTAATCTCTTTGGTGTTTTGCCTTTTATTTCCAATGTCCCCACTCTAAGTCATGCCTTTTAACTAAGATTTTGACTTGTAGTTTTTTTTTTTTTCCAAGCTTATAAAATTAGGTCATTGCTTTGAAGATACTGCTTTCTTGATTCTACTTAAGTTTTGACTTTCTGGGTGTTCAGTGTTGAACCAGGCAGGCTTTGGAGTAGGGAGTAGAGGCAGCTGTGGGGAATACGGGATTCTTGCATTCAAGGGTGGATAATCTGAGTTAGAAAGTAAAGCATAGATGTTTGTCTAAGATAGTGAAAAATCACATCTTGTTATGCCCCAGACATGTTCACCACAGGAATTTGGGGAAGGATGTTTGCACTGTGGTCTATGAGGTCAAGGAAAGACTCGAAGCTGGAAGGGACCTCAAAGAGTGACAGCACAAGGCTCGAGTCCAAGGCCTGGCCTACCACACACTTGCTCTGTGAGCATGGGCCAGTTCCCTTACCTGGCCCACCTGCTTCTTAACTGCCAGGATGCTGGTCCTGTTTCCGAGTTTCACCACCCTGTGGCTGAGGATGGATCTAGATATGCTAAGATAGGAATTCCTCAGCCCTTGGAGCAGCCAGTTGTGGCCTAGTGGCATCCAAGAATGGTGTCCCTGCCTTAACGGGGCAGCAGCTGGAGCCATCCAGGGTCAGTGGCTGCCAGCTCTGAGCAGTCATGCAAATATTGTTTTCTGGGTGAGCCAGGACATGAAAAAGTCTAAGAAGGATGAATTGTAGGTTTCACTCATCTGCATAATGGAGATGATAAGAAGCTGCTCACTGAATAGGATGTGATTGTGGTTATTAGAATTCGAGTAGACAGCAAGTGAGTGAGCAGTGATGCCCACATTCTGCATTCATCTTGCTTAGTGTGACATTCGGGACTTCTCACCCACCAACACCATGTCTGACCACTTCCTTGTCTGTCCCCTTGAGGATGTCATCTAAGCCAAAACATAGCCCTTCCCCACATCTTCCTCCTCTGCTTTTGAAGTCCTCTTTTCTCTTTGCTGCATTCCAAATCCTTCCCTGTTTTAAGGCTTAGATTCACATAAGCTTCCTGCCTGAAGCTTTTCCTGCTGGTTTACACAATGTTCTGTGCCAAGCCTCTTAGTCCTCTATTGGGTGGCTTCTTTTTTGATCTTTCTAAATGTCTATAAGGCAGGGACACCCTTTTTGGATGCCACTATATGTTAAGTACCTTGATTAATTTTTTTTTTTTTTAGTTTTGCTCTTTCATTTCTTAACTGAAAAGAATGGGTTATTGTTCCATTTAGTACATAGAGTTATGTTACTGTTCCTTTGTATTCACTGTTGAGCAAGCACTGATGATCACATTTACATAGTACGGTCCTGAGACAGGCTCACAGAGCTCTGTGTACACATGTTGCCTGAGTGTTTGCTGTGGATATTTGCTGTTAAGTTTATCTGGTGTTGGTCCAGAACTTATGGTTAGTCCCTAATGTCTTATCTTCTGCAGATGACATGTGAGAAAGTCCTTGATCTGATGTGCTACATGGTTCTCCCCATTCAAGATGGAGGCACATCACAGGAAGAACCTTCAAAAGTGAAGCCAAAATTTAGAAAAGGTACAGTGCTGATGAGAGAGTGTGTTACAGTTCCTAATGAGATAATTCCATTGTGATTTGCAGGGCTTGACAAAATGGTTCTTGTAAAAATTTTTCCTTGGTTCAGACTTCATAAGCAATTGTAAATCTTTCTTCCAAAGCTCTCTTCACTTCCTGAGTTTGTCACCTCCTTAAATATCAGTGAACTCTTTCCTACCTGTCAGTTTGAAAAAAACTTGTAGATGTGTAAGTAAGAGTATCTCTTAGCATATCCTTCTTGGACTGTTTTTAGTTCACCTCAAATTTCACACTGCTTGAAAACATTTATAAGTAATCTAAGTTTCTGCCTCAGAAGTTAGAAATAGATAAGCAAATTAAACCTGAAGAAAGTAGAACACAGGAAATAATAATGCTTAAGAGCAGAATCAATGAAATAGAAGACAAGAGAAAATCAGTAAAGCAAAGGTTTTTTTTTTTTTTTAATATTTATAAAAGTGACAAACCCCTAACAAGATTGATCAAGAAAAAGGTTGACACAAGTTACCATATCAGGAGTGAAAAAGCAAATGCCATCCCAGATCCTACTAAAATCAAAAGCACAGTAAAAGAACCTAAGTGACAAACTTTATACTAGTGAACTTAACAAATTAGCTACAGTAGAAAGGTCCTTAAAAAGCACACAAATTATCAAAACAAACACAAAATAAAACAGAGAATCTAAATGTTCTTATAGCTAAAAAGAGACTGCATTGATATCAAAAACCTTCCTGCAAAGAAATTCTAGGTCCTAATGGCTTCACTGGTGAATTTTATCAAGAATTGAAGAAGAAATGGCACCAATCTGACACAAATTCTTTTAGGAAACAGAGGAAGATTCCCAACTCATTTTTAAGGTTCACAGAACCCTAATAGTGAAGTCACACAAGACCTTTTCAGTAAGAGAACATTGACAGCTGGTATTCATCATGCACATAGATGTCAAATACTTAATGGAATATTAACAAGTCAAATATAGCAATATGTAAGAAGGATAATTCATTATGACCGGTATCCCAGAAATGCAAAATTGGCTTAACAAACAAGATTCAATGCAATTCGTAACATTAGCAGATTAAAGGGAAAAAAAAATCATGATTATCCTAATAGATACAGAATTCAATAATTCATGATTTTTAAAAAATCTTAGCAAATTAGAAAAAGAAGGAAACTTCTTAATGCCATACTTAACTGTGAAATATTGAATGCTCTTTCCTAATATGAAACTAACAAAAACTTAATATCCAGAAGATTGAAAGAGCTTCGGATCAGTAAGAAATAACCAACCACCCTCTCACAGGAGAATAAGTAAAGGATATGAACAACAGATTGATAAAAGCAGAACTCCAGATGGGCAAAAACCATTTGAAGAGATTTTCTGCCTAATGTAAACAATTCAGATTGAAACAATAAACTGCCATTTCACACACATCAGAAATCAGAGTGGCAGTTCTGGCTCTAGGTTGGAACATGAAGGGACTCACTATCCACATGCGTCTGGAAAGTGTAAATCTGTACACCACTTGGAAACCAGTTGAACATTACTAGTTGGAAATAGCCTTACTAGTCCAGTTCCTTGTCCCATACGTTTCCTTGTTGCTCTGTGTCTGAGATCAGTGTTTTTCAAAGTGTCATAAGTGTCAACCAGAAAGTTTAATTTTTAATAAATTTAATGTTAGATTTTTAAATGATTGCATTTCATGTTGAAAGTGTGAATATTACTTCATGAACCTTTTGTTTTAGATATGTAATGTGTGTTAAGTGTGTGTACAGGATCTCCCTATAAAAATGTATTTCTTGTTACTTCTTGCCTCTGGATAGAGGAGCATTTAAGATATAAATAGCATAGACTATAAAGGAAGAGACAGATCTTGGTTTGAAAGCCATTGCTTAATATTTTTCCTACATGTGCATAGGAAATAATGTATAAGAATGTTTGTTTCAGCATTGCCTTTAATCGTGACACATTAGAAATCTCATCTAGCATGAGAATGAGTGATTTAGGGGAACAACATACTACATAACAGTACAAGTGAATGAACTAGAACTACTTTCATTATTGGTAAATCTGAAACAGAAGGTTGTATACAAAAATCAATTTGTTAGAAAGATACATGCAGTGTATCCTTCTAGTAGACTAAATATAGTAGTGTAGTATAGTTATACTAGACTGAAAACCGGCAAAACATTCCTCTGTGCTGTTGATAATCACAAACTTATATGGCAAAAGCACACAGATTAAATAGGAATAATAATGACATTCAAAATTATAGCTGCCTCTGAGGAGGGAGGAAGACAATGGTATCAGATGGATACTCGAGAGCCTTCCACTGATTTTGTGGTATTTGTATTAAAATCGTTTAAAAATTACAGCAAAATCTTAGCATTTTATGAAGCTGTGTGGTAAGCATGTTGGTGTTTTTAATATTCTCTTTACCTAATTTTCTGTGTATTTGAGATGTTTTATAATAAAAAGCATTTAATAGAGTTTAAGAAAGAGGATTGACAAATGAAATCCAGAGACCATCCAAAATCAGTTCCACCATCACAAAGGGTAATTGTGCCTTAACTACAATAGAGATCATGTGATTATGGCTTATCCTTTTTTGGGAGCAGGGGGACATCCTGAACATTTACTTTTCAGTGTGTTGTTTTCTTTGATATTGACATGACATAACATTGTGGACTTGTACTAGGTTCGGATCTGAAGCTTCTGCCCTGTACCAGTAAGGCCATCATGCCATACTGCCTGCATTTGATGTTAGCCTGCTTTAAGGTAAGCTTGAAAGTGTTTAGCATGAGAAGCATTTGTTTAGAAATTAAATCCTGATGACCTGCAGTGACTTGAATCAAGATCTCTGTTAATTGTGGTTAATTTCATACTTTTAAGAAGCACATAGGTATAGTGAGAAAAGCACACAAGCTAGAAATTAACAAGTGTCTTTTAAATAACAACTGCAGTAGGCAAAAATGGTGGAAAATTGTCCCCAGCCTCAAGAAGTTTGTGAGTAATAGTGAGACAAATATGCAAATAGCCTTGCCTATAGTAGGGTGTGGTATTTTAGGAATCAGTTTACAGTCAGAATTTGTTAGCTACAGAAGAAAGGAATGCACATCTATGTTGTGTTCATAGATGGACAGCTAGTTCATTATAAAGATATGTTGGGTGAAAGCCTTGTAGATGTGAGGATCAACAGCAAAGGCCCCCAGTGCTGTCTGGGAGGGCTCCAGGATGGTGGAAAGACCCAGGCTCTGGGCGGCAGTGGGACAGAGCCTCGGGAGAGTGAAGATTCATTATTCATGTGCAGGAGAGGCACACTATTGAGTCTGTGCTTGAGACAGTAACTCCCAGACTTATCTCCTCATCAGAAGCACTTGAAGTATGATTTTATGTGTAGTTGCTCATCTAAAACAAAAAGCCATTTCTCTGGTCACTTATCTATAGTGCCTCTCTTTCTCCCAGTCCCACGTTCTCCTCAAACCTCCCCATGACCTCTTGCCCACCTTTTCCACTCAGAATCATCCTCTTAAAGGATGGCTCCAAATTCTTTCCTCTGTTATGTGAGACTCAACTTTCTCTAGCCCTGAGTCCCAAATCCAGAGCTCCAGACTCGCCCTGTCTGTGCAACGCCCCTGCGGAACCCCCACAGGCTCCTGGTGGAAGCTCTTGGCTTTACTTAGGAGCCACATTTTCTGCTCTAATGTCCTTTTCCACACATTCGGGTGGGAAGGTTAGGAAGTGATAATTGCTGTATGTTAGATTACACTGATTTCCTTTCCCTTCTTGTATTAAATCTGTCTTGCAGCTTAGAGCTTTCACAGACAACAGGGACGACATGGCACTGGGGCATGTGATCGTATTGCTTCAGCAGGAGTGGCCACGGGGAGAGAATCTTTTCCTGAAAGCTATCAATAAGATTTGCCAGCAAGGAAATTTCCAATATGAGAACTTTTTTAATTACGTTACTAGTATCCTTTCTCTAGTTTAAGTATAGAAAATTCTGGGTTTCTCAAATGAATGTATTATATAAAAATGAATGAACAATACTGGTTAGCAATACAAGTTTTTATTATTGGGGGAAAAGAAGCAGGAATGATGATTTTAAAGTGGAGCTGTGGGGCCGGGTAGATTGGTGCATGCTTGTAATTCTAGGTACTCAAGACAAAGAGACTGGGAGGACTGTATTTCAAGGCCAGCCTGGGCAAAACCACAAGACCCTATCTGAAAAATAAGTGAAGCAAAAAGGGCTGGGGAAGTATAGCTCAAGTGGTAGAGTGCCTGCCTGGCAAGTCCGAGGCCCTGAGTTTAAAAAAAAAATGGAGTTGTAGTAGTTGGTCTTAGAAAAGTCAACTGAGGCTTTGAAGACATGACTCAAGGAATCAGCAGTGCTGGCAGCCCTGCTCCATTCCCACTTGTAGCTAACTTGTGAGAGGGTACCCAAGAGGCTGAAGGAATAGCCCCAGGTTCTGGGCAAGCCGAGTAGCTGGTTTATGCCATAGAATGTAAGAGTTCCTTGGCGGATCTGTGGAAAGAATGTCCCCTATGGCCTTTCCTGGGACATGGACTGTCTGCTGGGATTAGTTGTTAGCTCAGCAGGCCATAGCTGTCATTTGTACCAGTGAGGGGCTGCTAAGGTGCTGCCTGGCCCAGAGCTGCTTTACGTGACGGGCAGCGTATTATTTCACCGTTCATGGAGGTGTGGTTGTTAATATTTCACTGTGTGTCTTAACGCAGTACTTTGAGTGTAGGGCTTGTGCTGTATTTTCCAAGTACTCCAGAACAATAGCTTTTAACCTCTTTTGGAAAGATACTTTTGAGAATCTAATGGAAGTTATACAACTCTTTCCCAGAAAAATGTGTATATGAATGTCATCACCATCAGGAGTCACAGAAGCTCCTCCCCTGAAGAATCTAGAAACTTTGCACACTAGCTATGAAGAAGCAGTCTTAGCTTTATTTTTAGTGACTCATATTCTAAAACCCCAGACAGTTCTCTTCCACACCCACTACTTGTTTGATTTCTTGTTAAGAAAAAATAATTTGCTCTTATGACCATGATGTAGAGTTTGTTTAATTATGTGCATTATAGGAAGAATATCTTATCCTAATATCCTTCAGCCTGACAGATTTTTTTTTTCTTTTCTTTTGTGATGCTGGAGATGCTGGGCAAGTGCCCTACCACTGATATGGGTCCAGCCCAGCAGACCTTATGCCAAGAGTTCACTTTGTGAGGTAGTTTGGTTGATCTAAGAATCCAGGGTTTTAGAGCCATATAAACCCGGGTTCAAATACGACTATGCAGTTGTAAGATGGCAATGGCCAAGAGCCTGTTCCTTACCTGGGAGAAGAGAGCACCTTGTTCTGTGTTATTGACCTGACTCTAACCTGCAGATATTGATATGCTGGAGGAATTTGCATACTTAAGAACTCAGGAAGGAGGGAAGATCCATCTGGAGTTACTCCCCAATCAAGGAATGCTGATCAAGTAAGCAGACTGTCTTTTGCTCTTCTAAGCTTTGTGCTCACCTTTCATGTGCTTGTCAATTTTTGTAACTTTCAGAAATTTATAGAAAGGAATCCAAACCTGGTTCCTTTATGATAGCTTCTCTTTTCCAAAATTTGCAGAGTCTTAAATATTTCTGATTATATATAAAGAGCTTTTATTAAGAGCAAGCTTACTTAAAGTTGTGCTGGATTAGGGAAATTCATTAAGAAAAATGCAGATTTTATTTATAAACTATACTTGAAGCCCTCCTACGCACTCCTCATTGCTCATATCACACAAAGTGAAGTAGCCAGGCCAGTGCCTGCAAGGATACATCTACCCAAGGCGTGCTGGGGGAGTGCTCAGTCCCAGGCATGCCCGAACCCACAGGATGGTACCGAAATTCTAGGTTGGCCCAGATGAAAATAAGAAGCTAGTGACCATTTATGATTTTTAAATAACTCACAAATCTTGCTTCTTTCCTCAATCCTCACTGTGGTTTGGGTAATCAGCCCTCTCTGCTGTAAGTGCCACGTGCGGTTTTATTTTCATATTCCTCCTTTGCTTCCTGCATATTCAGTGTGTCTGTAAATCTGTTAGAGCTATTACAAGAGACTGAACTCCCAGTGGGAAGGAAGTATTGTTAGGGCTAAAAACATTTCTCTTTTTCCCTCAGTTGTAGAATAAGCAAGTTTTCAGCTGATAAAAGCAAAAATCCACATCTCGTTCTATCTTTGCAGGGTTTTAGAAATGCTGAGGGAGGGAAGGAAGAAATGTTCATTCTGGATTTCTGTGACCTCAGTGATTTGGCACATAGCAAACATTTGTTTTTTATACCTTAGCAAGAATAAGGTCTTGTGGAATCCATCCTAAAGAATGTAAAGATTAAATGGTTTTATACTCCCCTTCATCTTGTAAGTTATATCAAATATTTTAAACATTTGAAAGAATGAATTCACTGTTTTTGAAAACATGAGGCCCTTCATAGACGAGGTTGCTTAAGATGACTAGACAGCTCATCTTCCCATCTTGTTGACTTCCTAAGATTACAAGTCAAAACTGGGAAAAACAACTACATGGTTCAAAATATTCCTAACATGTGTGAGAATAAAGATTACTTTTTGATATGAGAGCCCCTATAGCCCCTTTTCTGTTATGATTTCTAGGTTTTGAAATTGAATATACAAACATATACCTTTAATAAAGCTTTTTAGTTCATCAGTAATCACCATATCAAATTGTCACAATGTAGTGACAGCTTTAGTAGAACCAAACTCCACCTTTGGAGGATTAAACCTACAGAAGATTGTCACGTTACCTGTTGTGGGAGTGTGAGAGAATGGCTTATACAAACTCCTCAGTTGAACTTCAGACTTTATTGAACTGAGCCTTTCTTCTTTTCCCAGTTTTTCTTGAGCTGAACAATATCATGCCTTCATGACAGTCCCTACGACATGGAATTTAAAGCAAGGGTGTGTCGGATTCCCAGATAAGAAGGGGAATGTTTGCATAATAGGTGCCTATCCTGAAGTTCCACGCTTTGGAGGGGTAATTCTAGGTTCTCCCACCTTGATGAGTCTCAACTAAATTTCTTTGAACTTCCTATAGGAAACCTGCTGTCTTATTGGCTGGCAAAGAAGACTAGGTACTGCTACCTAGTGATCTGGCTTGTAGAAGTTTGCCCAGGGTTCTCTGTGGGGTCTCAAAGTGAATTTGAAACCTGTATTTTAGATAACGTATACCTAAACTACAGCAAGAGAATCGAACTGCATAAGACAGAGAACTTTTACTAATTGAGGTGTGATTAGACTCTTGAATAAAACTATCTATATTCCTTTTCCCTTTGGGTTCCAAACAAATTCTCTGAAGCCATTGCAGACCTTTTGGGTGGTCCCTCCAGATGAGTGGCAGAGATGTTGTGAGCAGTGTACAGCTACTCCCCTTGGGGTAAGGTTGTGAGTCCGTCCTAGTTGTGGTATCTCGGATGCGAGCAGGTACAGTACAAATACCACGGCACCTGATGCCTGACCAAATGGAGAGATAAGCTCTTCATTCATTACAGACATTTTGCACTGATGTGTTTTAAAATAGAGAAATGTTTCTACTGATATTTGCAGTATCTTAGTTGTATTAGATTGAATTAATCTACAAAGTGATTATATTCTGTGACGTGGTTACCAGCTAATACGCTAAATATCTTTGTTCCAGAATTCTGCAAAACCATGGGTCCCAGACTTTTTCCTTGTCAGTTACTTTTCTCAATACTTGTTTGAACTTCAAACTCACCCTTTCTTTACCAAAATCATTGCCAGCTCCTCTGGTCCTCCCAGTTTGGGGCTTTAGTCCTGCCACAGGTTGTTTCATAAAGTCACCAGATGTGTTTCTGGTGCTGGTGTGGGTGTGAGAGCAGTGCAGAGTAAAGGAGGCTGGATTTGGAGCTGTGTCTTCAAATTAGCCCCCTTCCCACTGCCATCTAGTTGCCTTCCTGTTCCTCACGGATGGCTTTTTTATCCCAAATCTCCAGTGGGCTGAGCTCTGGGACCAGGAGCTGAGATGCCTCTGGACTGTCCCCAGTAGCAGGTACAGTGAGCTCGCTAGCTTCTCCCTATCCCCTGAAAGCACACCACAGCCAGGGGCTTGTCGAGGTCGAAGTTTCTGTACAGTCCGCTTCCAGTCCTGTGTATCTTCTCCGGAGTGTTGTTTTGCAGTGCAGGGTGAGCTGGTGTGGGTGTTTGAATGCTGCTGTTTGCTGTTTTTTAAAGGCCTTCTAGCCCTCCCATGGGGTTCCTGCAGCAGGAATTCTTACCTGTGCTTCAGCCCAGCGTACAGACTGCTGACAGGTACCAAGTGGAAAACACCTGCTCATAGTGTGCTGTTTTGTCGACGTGTTTTACTGCCATGGCGCTCAGCGCTCTGTTCCTCAGTGCTCTTTTTCATGCTTTTTTTTTTTTAATTTGTTCTGCATTTCTTGGCAAACCATCTGGTTGTAATATTGTAACATTTCTTATTTTTTTCCATAAGTTGCCAGTGTGTTTGTGTTGAATTTAAAAATCATTATGGATCTGGAAAAAAAATGAAAGTTTTATAAAATTGTATAAGATTAAGTGCACAATAGATTAAGAGCTAAACTACGATTATGCTTCTGTTTCGATGAAAGAAGGCTTTTTGTCATAAATATTTAAGGAGCTGAAGCTTTTACTCTAGGTAAATTTTGATTTGTGGATTTCCATATTAGTGACCAGTGTCGTTTGATCTAACTAGGCATTGGTACAGTTTTCTCCTGCCACTCTTGCTGTTTTTCCAGACCTTGCCTTTCTGAATTGAAAATGTTTGAAAGGCTAAAGTGATGCCATGTTTATTAGCTAGTTCATCCTGTTCCTAAGCCATAAGGGCTCACTACAGCCATGCGCCATTTAGCGATGGAGATACTTTCTGAGAAATGCATCATCCATAAGCAGTTTCGTTGTCATGTGAACATGGTAGTATGCATTTACACAGACCCAGAGGGTATGACCTGCTACATATCTAGGCTATGTAGGACCAGCTTGGTCCTTTGTTGACCAGAACACCGTTATATGGCGCACGACTGTAATTCTCATCTTCATTCAAGCTTCTGAGAGGGGTATAGGCTCTAATGGAAATGTAATTGAATTGTTGTGTTCTATGGAAACAGTTACCACTGGCCATGACCAGCAGGGTGTGACATTTAATTATATTTTCAGTAGTAATAACAGGAGAGAGGTTGCCATTGGCTTACTGTCTGAAGATGCCGGTACCTCTCACTTGGCCCACTCTGAGGTTGCAGCCTGGGACCCAGAAGAGCAGTATCTCAAGGCAGTGTAAAATGGTCTACATCCACTCCCACCAGGACTCAGAGCCTCACCCTCTCCGACACTGTAACTTACTGTTGAGCTCACCAGCCACACTTGAAATGTCCACAGAGAACTGTGCATTTACTCCATGGTCCCATGTTTCTGTAAGACATCTGTGGCCACTGTAGTGTTCTGTAGTATTTTTACCAGTCTAACACAGCCTGAATATTTTTCTATTGCACTGCAATTTTATGACTCCTGTTGTACTTACTTTATATGATAACTAATGTTTGAAAGCAGAAACACTTTAGGGTGATTTCAACAGTTTTATTTATGCCCTGTACACAAAATTCTAATGGTCAAACCTTGTTCCTTTTTCTGAGGGAGCTTAGGCAGTAGGGGAAGGGAACAGAGGTGACTTTTGTTTATTTAAATTGACCACATTACCAAACTAGTAGCTCAAATTCCTTTCCTCTTAATTGAGCCCACTGAGTTTTGCTGGATTTTTCTTTTCCTGTCTTGGTTTTGTTGATCTAGCTTTACCAGGATTTCATTTGTAATTTCCTTTCCTAATGCACAGCAATTGGGGACACAGACACATCTTTGCTTGTGCTCCCTCTGACTCTTCCACAGATGTGCAGGTCCCCTCTGAGCGCCTGGACAGATCTGCTCTTCCCATGCACAACTTTGCAGGCTGCTTGCTCCTCAGCAATGGTTCTGCTTTTCTCTCCCAACCTGTACCACGTTCTTGTTCAAGACCCCTGAGTCTCCCTGATTTTTCTCTGACAGATCAGAGTCTGGATGGGTGCAGCACTCATGGGAGCCGCCCTATTCTGGAGCCACAACAGAGACAAACTCTTGCTTAGGAACCCAGCAGCTGTGTGCAGAAGCCCAAGACTTTCTGGGCTTTTCAGGAGCCACTGTTGCGGCTCCCCTGGCAAGAACTCTCCGTGGTAATTGGTGTATTCTGGTCCCCCTTCTTGTTGCTGACTCGTAAGGGTCTTCTGGACCAGCTGGACATGGGCAAGTTGTGGCCAGTGAGGATGGGACCCATTGTGTCCCAAGTCACTGAATTACGTACAGCAGTAGGAATGCACAACATCAGAGCTTCAGGAATTCAGAGAAAAGCAGGAGGTAATTTAATTAACACATTTAAAATATCCTTACGTAGGGCAGGAAGGGAAGAATGGGCAGGAATGGTTTGTTGCTTGCAGCTTTTCTTTTCTATATAGGCATTTGGTTTAAGTTTCTTACTTATTAATTAAACTTAAATATGAGGAAGGCTTTATTCCTACCCAGGTAACACTGGTCCATGATTCTGCTGCTAACCGTAGTCTCTGTTTGTTTCCCTGTCACTGACCTCAGGCACCACACGGTCACTCGGGGCATCACCAAAGGCGTGAAGGAGGACTTCCGCCTGGCCATGGAACGCCAGGTCTCCCGCTGTGGTGAGAATCTGATGGTGGTGCTGCACAGATTCTGCATTAATGAGAAGATCTTGCTCCTCCAGACTCTGGCCTGACTATAGACCTCTGTGCCACAGGCAGGTGTCAGCTGTGTGATTCTGAGGGAGGACACAGCAGCCATGAGTGTTGCTGTTCCATTTCTCAGGAGGAAGGAAAACACCAGGGTTCTAACTCCTTGGTTGCTTAAAAGTAGTTCCCAAGAGTGTGAGAAGCTATTTCTATTTTTAAGAGTCCTTTCTGGCAATTTTTGTAAAAGGAAAGTCTGTTTTGTAAATAAAAATTGTTTTAAAATTTGAAGTTTAAAAAATTTTATTTTCTTGCAAGTTTCTAAATGAGAGTGCATTTTTCTTCTAATTTTCTAAGCATACAACAAGAGGGAAACCCAACATAATTGAATTGAGTGATAAATTTTGTTGTGTAGAGACTTTAAAAAGACATTGCCTTCCATGATCTTTGGTAAGTATTTTATATATATATATATATATATATATATATATATATATATATATTTGACCTTTTCATTTAGAGTTTTAAAACCAAAAAGTTTTATGCACAATTGAACTTAATCCTGTCCTCTTCCCACTGACAATCCACTAAAGGAGCAGTACTCCAGGGTCACTGAAAAACCAAGACTGGAAATAGAGGCAGAAGGGCCTCTGCTCAGGCCTCAGAAAGGCCTGTTGCTGTGCCAGGGCAGGGCAGCCCAGCGGCCTTGGCATTGAACCCTGGTTCTGGCCCACCTTCCACTTGCTGTGAAGTCAAGGAAATATATGTGTATGTGTACACACACACACACACACACACACACACAGAATTGCTTTTTTAAGGTAGGGTATGCTGCCACAAAGTAGGGTGTTTGGTGAGTGTTTTCTAACGAGGAAGAACACTTCCTGCTAAATGAAGATGTACACACCAGATATTTTTATTTCCTCCCAAGGTGGTTGTACATCTTTTGGGTCACATTCCACCTAATCATCCACAGTGGAGGTAGAAGATCTTGCTAAACTGACTGATCTGGTTTGGTTTAGTGTCTCCCAAAGGTCTTGTGTATTAAAAACTTGGTCGTCAGGGTGATGCTACCATCAGTTTTGTGTTAAGTGTTTCAGGTGTTTAAAGATGTCTTATTTCATAGCCGTGTTAGTAGAAAGGCTTTTTTTCCTTTTTTGTCTCCTTAATGTTATTGGTTGGTCACATTATTACGTGTAAAATAATATCTGACATTGATCTCTATCTGCTAACCATTGTAAAAGTGTTTCAATTTTCTCTTATTTATAAACAATTCTAGGGGGTAGATATTATGTGTAGATGAAGAACTGAGACTTAGGTTCATTCCCTGACCTGGGATCCCATAACTAGTAACTGGGGGAGCTTGATCTGTACTTGAGGGGCCCAGCCATTCTACTAAGAGTCCTTGGAGTTGCCATGTGCTTGCTGTGGTGTTAGACTCTGGAAAACAGATGGCTGAAGCTAAAAATGGTTCCTACCTACAGGGAGTTGACAAAGGGGAGACCCACGTAAAACTACCATAGGCTGACTCTAAGCCTACCTCAGTGGTGTCCAGCATATATTTAGAGATGGAGCACTAAGGAAGAAGGGAGGATGTGTGGAGAGACTGCAAAGATGGGGCTTATTAATTGGATCTGGAATTGTGAAGTAGATCTTTATTAGATGGACAAGCATCCTGGAAATTTCATTAACTTAAAAACAAGCATCCTGTTTAGTGCAAGTAAGGAGTAGATGTTTGGGTGGGTGCTGGAGGGTAAGGTATGAAAGTGAACAGGACAGGCTCCATCCCTCCTTTCACTGAATTGACTGCCTAGTGGTCATCCCATCAACATTGGCTCTGAGTTCTTTTTTGGCATCACCATCCCCTCCCTTCCAGTTGTTTTGGCCTTTCTTATGTCAACTTCAGTAGTACCCTAGAGTTATCCCAGTTCCACCGGTCAAAGGAAATCAGTAGCTGAATCACACACATCTTAGTGAAAACTGCTTCATCTTTGCCTCTCCAAGATGATTGGCCATCCAGTCTGAATGGTGAAGTGTCAAACACCATGACTCCCTGGTAGGAAGTTTTCTTTGTTTGCTTGCATAAGGGTGGTAACCTTATGTGTCCACTCTAGTCACATTGCATACAGTGAATCAGGCAGAATGACCCTCCCTCAATTTTAATCTTTATCTCTTTGTAATCCTCATGAATTCTGTTTTTTTTGTAATTTCTTTGGTACTGTGTTGTAACAAACTGTTGTCTTTAAAGAAGAAAAGGCAATCCCATAGTCCTAGAGGTTACAAATCCAAAATCAAAGTGTCAGGGACATGCTTCTTCTGAAACTCAGTGTAGAATCCTTCTTTGCCTCTTACTAGCTTGTGGAGGTGGCCAGCAGTTGCTGACAATCTTGGCTTTTGCAGCTGCATTGCTCCAGTCTCTCCCTCTGTCCTACTGGAGAGTTCTCCCCATGTATCTCTTCATGACAATTACCCTCTCCTTATAAGGACACCAGTCATTCTGGAGTGAGGACTTGCCTTACTCTGTTAGGACCTCTTTTAAGCTAATTGTCTTCAATGACACTATTTTCAAATAAAGGTCAAATACTGAGGTACTGGGGGTAAGACTTCAACATGCATTTTGGGAAAACAATCCAATCTATAGTGGAGCCATGTTTTTGACCATTGGGTTTTAAAAATTTGTTTATGCATATAATCTTTGGGAACAATAGCTGTTCTCCTCTTGCCTCATAAAGGTATTTCAAGGGTTTTTTTGTTTTTTCCACAATCCTACAATTCTTTCCTCCACATAAAACAAAGGTTATACAAAGCAAGGGCAATTGTGTGCATTTGGAGAATTTATGCAATGAATGTTTTTCTTTAAATAGGCAGCAGAATGTATGACTCTCTGGCCTCTCCTTTCTCCAACATACATATAAACTCATGAATGGGAGGATGTAGTTTTAGGCTGGTTTATTAGTCACTTTCCCCCAATGGCACCTCCTAGAGGTGAAGACAAAGGTATAGAGTATTTCTGGATCATGATTAAAAGTCAGGGCTGGTATGTAGCTCAGCAGTTCAGCGCCTGCCTAGCATGCGTGATGCCCTGGTTTGATCCTAGCACCAAAAAAGAAAAGACAAAAAAAAAAAAATCCATTATCTGTTCTAGGCAGAGAAGTTCTTACAAGTTGCTTGCCATATTTGTTTTTGTAAAAATTTCAGAAGCTAAACTGTTTCAAGGAGATAGAAAGAATATGGTAGTTTTTAAGAGTTCATGAGTTGGAACTTAAAACACTTGTTCATCTCTGTTTGGTTAGTAGTTGGTCAAACAAAATGCTGATGGCCAAATGGATGTGTCAAAAAATCGAGTCTGTGGTCAGAAGACTTTCAAATTCTTCGTATTCCACCAGAAAGAATTCATGGCAGGACACCTGGGTGTAAAGGCCTTAGGGAGAAAAGATCATCTTGACTGCTTCACGGAGAGCAGGTATAGAATCAAGGAGTGGCTAGCTGATTCAGCTTTGAGAATTCCAAGGTGGCGGCTAGAGGGAGGAAGCAGAAAGCATGCCTCCTAAAGTAAAATCTTGGAGAGACACTGGAGATACACATTACAGGAAAAACCACCCAGAAGAGGCAAAACTTTCACTCCTCCACACCTCCAGCCTGTGCATAGCATCTCTACATCACGTTAAGCAGAGAAACCAGGCGCGCTCCCGCACTGCCTCCAGACGCCAGCGCCCAGACTTCTTGGGAAGACGCGGAACACAAGGTGAGCTAAGCAGTACGCGGTACTCCCACAGACAATCCTGGGCCAGATCAGCATAGCCCCCTGGACAGACCAACCCCCACGCAGGAAAAAAAAGAGAAACTGAATAATAAGCAATAACAAAAAAGACAAGTAGAAAAGAGGGCGGGCGCCCTGAGCGCTGAAGAGTGGGGGTGGGGAAATCCCTCACAAGCCAGCTGGAGAAGGCAGGAGCGGCGGCACATGCCCAGCAATCAGGAGAGGGAAAGCTTGTAAAAGTGACAGTGGGAGGAAAACTCCACAAGAGAGGGGGGAAGGCCTACTTCCCATGTGAACTGTAAATAAACACACCACCCTGAGAAAGTTGGTGCAGTGTCATCTCCCCCAGTGTGCTTGGAAAGGGGAAAGCTTGTAGCAGTGGTGGTCATCTTGCCCAGGAGAACTCTTGAGTAAACAAAGCTTGCAGGGCCAGGTGAGTGTTAAGCTCACTCCTGAGATCTGCATAAATAACACCTCCAGCAACAGCAGACTGACAGCAGCAGGCAGGTGAGCCACATCCGCAGATACCATTCACAGACCTGTCTCCAGACTCTTTTTTTTTTCCCTCTCTCCCTTTGATGAGACAATAACCGAACTACACCTGCATGCTGAAAAACTTACTGAAACTGTATTGCATTTGAACTTGGGACACTCTGTGGGTTTTTTTTTGTGCTGTTTTGTTTTTATTAGTTTTGTTTCCGCTTTGATGAGACAATGACAGAACTACTTCTGAGACACCATCTCCAGACTGGAGAATGAGGTACAAACACCAAAATTATTAAGACTGAAACTTTAATGCATTTGAACTTGGAGATTTTATATATATATATATTTTTTTCTTTTTTTGTTTATTTAATTTTAATTTTAATTTTTTATTTTCAATCCTCTCTCTGTCTCTCTCATGCCTGTTCAGCTTACTGTTGATTAGTACACTATCTCTCCCTGTTTATATCTTTGAAATTTATTTTGTTTTTTTCTACTTGTTTGTTTTTCCCTTTTTCTTTAACTTCTTTGCTTTCCATTTCCTCTCACCCTTCCATTCTAAATATCACCATTGTTATTATTACAACCTAGAAAATACTTAATTGCACACAGAACAGGGACAGTAACAACACCAGGGGCAATGACGGGAAGACAGAAAGAACAGAGAAACCAGTTTCCCCACAGCAAAAAATTAGTACAGGAACCAGAGGGGAATGAAGAAAACAGATACTCAGATCCATACTCCAACAAAATGAAGATAAACTATGCCAAAGGTCCCAATGAAGCCCACAAGAATAACTTAAAAGAAGACATACTACAAGTACTCAATGAGAATTTTATAGAGATGATACTGGATATGGTCAACCAAAATGTACAGGAGACACTCAAAAAATTCCAAGACAACAAAAATAGAGAATTTGAAACAGCACAAGAAGAAATAAACAACCATAGAAGCACTGTATAAACACCAAAGTGAAAGAGAGAACACGATTAATAAAGAGATAAATGAACTCAGGACAAAAATAGACAACATTAAAGAGGAAA